ATATGATCAAATGAAATGGAAAGAAGATTGACTGATCGATCGATCACGGCTAAGTTAGTGGTTTGTGTTCAGCATCAAGTAGCTTGAATGTCTCGTGGATAATACGTTCGGTATCCGGATGAGCTAATACGCTCTTACGCAACCCATTACGAAGGATCGCTATCGTAATCTAAATAAATATGAAAATCGCTTGATAAACGTTTAGAGAACATGTGAAATAAGAAATATGGATTATTACGATTGATTATCTGATTAGCTAACTATGCAATGTTTATATAATTATGATGGAAGTTGACGATGACCATATAACAAGTTCAAATCGCATGTATATCATATGTTATCCTGCGTTCACAATTACATGGGTAAATTACGAGAGATCATTGTCAGTATTGTTGGGAGCGTTCGTAAATTCATTCAAACAGCAGCCCATTTATGGGAGAAAGAGAATCCACTAGCATTTCTTCATGAGCGATTAAATGAGGGCAGAGAACGAGCTGAATGATGAATATTATTTAGCTAAATAATTAGCTAAACAGAATCGTGCTTCACCTTCGTTTGACGATCGAAAACAAGCATTTGTCCACCGTGTCCACCGTGAGCGATGAGAAAGGACTAAAAACGCTTTGGAGTAGCACACAGAAATAAATTGCAGCACATTAATTTTTTTGTTAATGCAAACAACATTCTCATAAATCCTTTCAATTCTTTTTAGCTCCCTTCGTTCATTTTGCGGAAAACTACCGACTGTGAGATATATCGCATAGGATTTCTCTTATGTATGTATACGTCGCATATGAGCTGATTTTATATAGGTTGATTATGGATTATAAATTTATAAATTATGGATTAAACTTATACATTCACATTTTATTACATATATACATGGATTATGAAATTATATCTCATTATACACATGCTATATGCACGGTCATTCTTCCAGTAGGCATCTGAAGATTGAACGGAGCACAGAACACATCCGGCAAATGTCAACAAAGTATCAATCAAAACGTGACAAAAAAACGAACATTTTCACGAGTTGGATGCCTCAAATAAAAGAAACCGTTGCCCCGAAGTTCCTGCCTATCAATGACGATATCTTTGACGGGCGTCGGCTGAGTCGGTTCACTGATTTTCTGCCAAACGTCCTCACGAATCATGTTCTTCTGCAGTTAGCCAAACAATTTTGTGAATAACATGATCCCAAATTCGTTCCAAACAAAAAAAAAACGTAAATGAATAAACGAATGCCATTCGAACGCAAACTTCGCATGAAATTTCTCCAGTTACTACCGCAAG